CCCTCCAACCGCCCCAGGGCCAGCCGGCCGTGATCATAGTGGAGGGGGAGCTGGACAAGCTCTCACTGGAGGAGGCCGGCTTCACCAGCGTCATATCCGTCCCCAGCGGCGCCCTGCCCCCCAAGCGGGCCCCATCCGCCACTGCCGCCTCCTCCGGCGCGCCGGCCCCCGCGGCCCCGCTCGAGCCGGACGCGCGCCTTGATACGAAGCTCGCGTTCCTGCGGCGCGCGTGGCCGGTGCTCAAGGACACCGAGCGCATCCTTCTCGCGACCGACGGCGACGCGCCCGGCGCCGCGCTCGCGGAGGAGCTCGCGCGCCGCCTGGGGCGGGGGCGCTGCTGGCTGCTGCGGTGGCCGGCGGGCTGCAAGGACGCCAATGACATGCTCATGGGGCGCGACCTGCAGGCTGCGGGGCTGCCGGGCGGCGGGCAGCCGGACGCGGGGCGGCTGCATGACTATGTGGAGACGCAGGCGGTGCCGATGCCTGAGGAGAGCTTGGTTTGAGGGCGGCGGGGCGCAGGCGTGTTTTTGTGGCCGCACTTTCAACTGTGTACTGAATGAACAGCATCACTAGCGCAGGCCCTGTGGTGGCGTCATCGCCTGTACCAACAAAACCGTTTTTGCTCAGGTTACTGGCAGCTGACTCAGCTTAGTGTACAGTGCTGCCCTGCCACGCGGTTTCGCACCTGTTGGTGCTCTCTTACACATTTTTGTCCTTGGCAGAGGGCAGTTTGTGCCCCACAACTTCCAAAGACGTTTTCATGTGTTGGCGCAGGTAGGCATGATACAAATCTAACAGTTGCTTCTGATACAGAGTGCTGGCAGCTATTGTATACCCACCCATAGACACTGTAACATCGCGCAAAAGCTTGGTGGTCATTCTGACACATACCTGCAACGCGCGGGTGAACAGCGCGCATCGCCACCGCGGTGAGCTGAACAGCGACAGTCAATTGTTGACCTCCCAGGTCCTGTGCCACATGAGCTTGGCGCATCGGCTCAATAGGCCATAAGACCATACCCCGGCAGGCAATCGAACCTAAAGTGCCTTTTCAGGTTGTGCCACCCGTCCCAGAACTGATGCCCGGGGCAATTATCACGGCATGAACTGACTGAGATGCAGGGTCGGACAGGCCGCTCTCCGGCCTGATTGCCTGTTGGCACCGCCCTCACGTCTCTGCAATGGCAGTCACCTTTGCGTGCTATCTAATCCGGCTTGCACGCATCGACCCGCTGACCTACATGCGCGACATGCCGCACGCCCCGGCTCCCAGTTACCCTCGACGCGCTGTGATGCATGGTTACACGCGTCACCAGCAGCCCTCGTCAAGGGATAAGTCACCCAAACCATGCCTAATGAGCGCAGGGCAGGGCCGCATGGCAGGCGTGTGTGACGGCTGCGCGTAGCCAATGAGCACGGCGCCAAAGCCGCCTGTTGAGCCCGACATGCCTTCAGCGCTGAAAGCCGAGAGCAGACCTATTGTTGAACTCAAAAGAAACGCTGGGCCCGCAATGCTGCTGGACCCGCAGGCCGATTGCAGCGCTGCAAGCGGCCGGTGCCAGCATGGGGCCTAAGCAGAGGTGTCCAGCGGACGCGCATGCAAGCCGTCGAGTGCTTGATCAAACGATGGCGTCAACTCTACGGGCGCTTGCAAGCGCAAGAGCCGGGCGTTCGTTTGTGTTGCGCACCCCCTGCGCTTGCTGCGCGCAGAGGGTGCACACGTGCAAAGGCTTGAGCGGTGAGAACTATGCCATCCCCGGTGTCGCCCTGGTGCCAATTGGCCAAATGTCACCCCAGATCTGTCTACGAAAAAGTCAAAAACAGCCCAGCGCCTCTTGGCCAGCCACCGGCTCGACCATCCTGCCGCGGTGCACGCGCTTGAGCGCAGGCCAGCCGACCTAACTCCGGAGTCAGCGCCACGCCACCCATAGACAGCCGGGACGCATGCCAGGCGGCCGTGGATGGGCCACTGCACTGCAGGCCCCCGCACCAACCGCGCGCGCGGAGCTTGCCCTCTCAGCAGATGCTGCAGCCGCCGCAGCAGCTGTCCCGCGCGCGCCGCCGCTCCTCCTCCTGCCAGGCCAGGTCCTGCGCGCGCAGCAGCAGCTCGAGGGCCTCTTCCAGCGCGTCCACCCGCCCCAGCAGGCTGCCCTGCGGCGCCGCCATCCGGCGCTCCGCGACGCGCTCGTACGCGGCCGCGGGCATGTAGCCGCGCAGCCGCTGCATCTGCTGCGCGTACAGCTGCTCGAGCGCCTGGGTGCGCTCCAGCAGCGACTGCGCCCTGCGGCGCGGCGGGGCGGAGGCAGGCGAACGGGGCGGGCGCTTGAGAGCCAGCGGAGCGCCTGCAGAGACAAGAGGGGCTGGTCCACACCAGGAGCACAGTGCACCAGCAGCGGAGTCACAGCTTGGACTCCTCGCATCCCGTCGCCGCACGGCCCCAGCAGCTGGTGTGTGTCGGTTTCCCCGCGCCCACCTGGCCGTGTTGACCGCCGCGATGAGCGCGTTGCGCTCCGAGCTGCTGCCCTCCACCTCGCCGCCCTCCTGCGCCGACAGCCGCTCGAGCGCACCCGCCGCGCCCCCGCCGCGCGGCGCGCCCGCCCCCTGCTGCTGCCCCTGCTGCTGCTGCTGCTGCTGCTGCTGCTGCTGCTGCCCCTGCTGCTGCTGGCCGTAGCTCGAGGCTGATATGAGCGGCGCCTTCTTGCCGCAGCCGCCCTCGAGCGAGGCACGCGCAAAGAGGTTGGGCCCGAAGGCCTCGGGGTTGAGGCTGCTGCTCGTGGAGAGAGCAGACACAAAAGAAGCCTCGGACCTGCGGTCATGGGGGGCGACGGCGAACCGAGCGCAAGGTAAACCACCGCTGTGCTAGCGGCATCCCTGCAACAGTGTGGGGACCCTTCCCCTGCCCCTGCCACGCCATGCGATGCGCGCGTGGCGCGGCGCGAAAAGGGTCCCAAAACCGCCGCCCTCCTCACGCCGCACGCGCCTGGGCGAGTGGTAGCCGTCCTCGTCCGCCCCCTCCGCGGCCGCCGCGCCGCCGCCGCCGCCGCCGCCGTCCCCAGCGCCATGGTGCAGCGCCTTGAGCGCGCGGGCGGCGGCGGGCAGGTGGCCCTGCAGGCGGCGCAGCACCTCGGGGTCAGACCAGGGGCCCAAATCGTCCAGCAGCGTGCCCTGTGGGTGGGCGTCGTTTTGTTGCGTATGTTGTGTGTAAGTCTTGGGCCTCTAGGTCGCCGTTTGTTGAGGGGTTGCGCGGCACGGGCGAGGAGCCGCAAGCAGATGAGTGCAGGACAAGTCCAGCCACCGCCATATCCGGACCGCAAGGAATGGGCACTCAGCAGGACGCCAGGGGCTTGAGAGGGGCAGCAGCGGGCGCCGAGCGCCATTGCCCAGTGAAGCTGGGTCCCTCCAGCCACACGGCCGCCCGCCCGCTGCCGGCAGAGCTCAACGCATATGCAGCAAAAGCGCGCGGCGCTTCACACAGCTTTCTGCATGGCACGGCCGGGGCCCGCCTGTCCGCGCACCTTGGACCGGCCGCCGAGCCACACCGGCAGGTTCTCTGGGTCCACCCACTCCAGCAGGTCGGCGGTGTAGTTGCTCTGGCAGATCTGAAGGACGGGCCCGCAGCAGGGCGCAGCGGCGGCGGCGGCGCGCAAGTCACGCCCCGTGGTCGTGACAAAGTTTGGGACTTCCTCCCGCAGCGCAACTCCCCACAGGGCGGCCTGCACGCGCAGGTACTTTCTCTGCATGCGCTGGCTCTTTGCCGATCCAACCGTGAGGCCTGCCCCGATCGTCGTCGCCTCGGCCTGCAGACCACTGAGATGTTGCAAAGGGGGCATGGGTCAGCCAGTGGCCCCCACCTGGATCTTGTTGAGTGTGCGGGGGTTGAGCATCGGCTTGATGAGGGCCCAGACCGCCTTGAAGACCATGGGGGCGTTGATGATGCAGATGCGGCCGAGCATCTCGGGGTAGTTGTCCTGGGGGGGGGGGTGGGGTCGGGGTATGGGGGTAAGGGTGGAGGGCGGAGCGCAAGGGGCGGCCAAGGGTGGTGGATTGATGGTCAGCGGCGGCCGCGAGCGAGCGGCAGGGGACGGCGGACACACTAAAACGCAGCGAATGGGGGCTGCGTCGCTGGAGAGCATGCGCAGGTCACGGCCGTGGCCCCCTGGTCTCATCCGCAGGCCGCCCACCTGGTCGTATTTGGTCAGCATGCTGACGAGGCGCTTGACCTCGCCCGTCAGGTGGCTCAGGCCCACGCCTGCAGGGTGGGGGCCAGAGGGGGGCGACGGCAGTTGCGACAGCATGATTCAGGGAGGCGCCGGGACAGCGCAACAGTCCCAATTCAAATCATTGCCCTTGTTTGGACTTGGTGTCAAGATTGAGTGATCCGGCGACCATGCGACTGCGCCAGCACCAGCGCCGCACGGCGCCACCGCCGCCGTTTAAGAGACTCGGCACGCTGGCAGCTCGCGCAATATCCCGCCCGGGGCCCCCCTGTGACACGGCCGCCCACCCTTGACGTCCATGATGCCAAATGTCTGGTCGATCTGGCGCTTCGCGATGGCGGAGCACACTGGGAAGATGAACTGCCCGCACCGCTCGTACTCCTGCAAAAGGAGAGTGGGCCGTGGCAGCTTTCGGAGCGAGCCCCACGGCCGAACGGGGCTGGCAGGTGCGACGCCGGCTTCCGTGCTCGGCTCGGCAGCCGCCGTGCAGGCGCGCTCGCTGCACAATGAGATTGGTTCATTTCGTAGTCGCGGCCGGGTCGCATGCACAAGCCAGCCCCCCCAAAAGACACACACACACACACACACACAAATCTGCACACACGTACCCACACGCACACACAAATACATACTGTACACACCTGGATGTGGAATTTGACCATGCGCTCCTCGCTGGTGATCTTCTTGAGCGTGTTTATGTCAATCTTGCCCAGCAGCTGGATGTAGATGGGGCGGCCCTGAAGGAGAGAAGGGGCGGCACGGCCCCAGAGCGTCACAGGATGCGCCGGCGGCCGGTCACATGTGGCCGGTTGCAACACACGTGCATTGACCAGTGCCCTCGGGCTGCCCACGTTTGAGCGTGGTGTGCAACATGCATGTAGGGACAAGGTGAGCAAGCATGCGGCGTCCAGGATTAAACATACAGAGGCCGCCCCGCAGAGCTCAGGCTCGGGCCGCACCAGCTTGTCTGTCTTGTGGTACCCTTGCGGCTGGCAGGCGCCAAGGGCGGCGGCCACACAAAGATGCGTGAGCATGCGTGCGCGGCGGGGAGTAGGCCGGTCAGAGCCGCGCCGCCGCCTGCACAACCGCCGGCCGCTGCCACAGATGCCGCCTCGCCTCTCCGGCATGCCGCTGGCGTGCAGCCGCCGCGCAGGCTTCGCCATAGCCTGCTTGTCTGCCTGCCCGCCTGCCGTCACTCCCTCCCTTTACCCTTCCTGCCTCCTGTGCTTCCCCTCACACCCCCCGTGGGCAGCTCACGTACGCCATGAGGAACTGCTCCCGCTCCCTGAACACAAAGTCCTCCAGGATCGTGTCCACGTCAAACTCCCTGCGCCAGGCGATGGTGTCGCTCCACATCTTGAAGGCCTTGTCGAGCTCGTAGTTGCGGGCGCGCAGGAAGCGCAGCAGCGCATAGTAGTCTTCAAGGGTGCGGCGGGGGCGTTTGCGGC